GAATGGTCAGAAACCCTGACATTTAATGAAGACCATCACAAATAAGGTATAATCTATGATATACTCCAAACATTCAGAGAAACTATAGGCCCCAGGAGGCCTAGGAGTGACACTGATACAAAGCAAGTAGGCCATGGTATTTGCCAGCAGAGCCCTAAAACAGAAAAGGGATAGGTTCATAGACACAAGTTGCTACTTGTCAGTGTTGTGCAAAATAGAACTATTCCACCTATTTACCTCTGTTCACACAGTGAATGTGCAATTCAGTCATAGGCCTTTAGAAAGCATCATGAAGCTGCTACTGCTGAATAGCACTGTTTTGCTTCAACTTCTGTTTTGACAGAACAGTGTTTTGTTTTGCATTTAGTTTTGTTTCGTCAAAACAGTTTTGCTGTTTTGATGCTGTTTTGATGTTTCGCCCATTGCCTATAATGGGGAAGCACAAAACTGAAGGAGGAGCAGCTTCCTGTGATCCCAGGCAGATCGGGGCCCACACCCCAGGGAGGAGTCTGGCAGAGGTGCTCTCATGCCATGCAGCTGTGCACACCACACAGCTTAGACGGAATGCTGGCCAGGTGTATCCCCTGTGTGCTCACAAAGTAATAGGAAAGTTATGTTTAATAGATTCATAGATGTTAGGGGCTGGAAGGGACCTCTTGAGATAGTCAGGTCCAGCCCCCCTGCACTTGGCCAGGAAAGACTGCTGGAGTCAGATGACCCCAACTAGGTGAGCGTCCAGACATTTTTTGAAAATATCCAGAATAGGTGATTGCACCACTGTTGGGGGGGAGTCTATTCCACACCCTGAATACTTGAGTTGAGTTTTCCTTACGTCTAATCTAAAGCTGTCTTCTAGCAATTTATGACCGTTAGTCCTAGTCTTCCCCTGGGGAGCCCTGGCGAACAGATGTTCCCTCAGTCCCTGATATATGCCCCTTATATACTTATAGGTTGCTACCAAGTCCCATCTGAATCTTCTCTTTTCCAAGCTGAACAAATCCATGTCTCTCAACCTCTCATCATATGCTGTGCTCTCCATGCCTCTAACTATATGCATAGCCCTCCTTTGGACCCTCTCAAGTCTCTCTACATCCTTCCTGAAGGATGGTACCCAGAACTGGATGCAGTACTCCAGCTGTGGCCTCACCAAGGCCAAGTAAAGCAGAAAGAAGACATCCTTAGTCTTGTCTGAGATGCATCAGTAGATGCATGCTACTGTTGTGTTTGCTTTGCTGCCTACAGCATTACATTGATGGCTCAAGTTCATTCTATGGTCTATTACAGGGGTAGGCAAAATTTTTTGGCTAGAGTGCCAAACCCCCACCACAATGTCTAACTTGGAAGGTGTGGGAGTGCCGGCATGCCAGAAAAACAAAATGGGGGAGGGGTACATGTCAGGACATACTGCATATTAGTATATTTAATAATCATAAATGTGGCCTATGTTGTTGTGTATTCCTTTTTTATTGAACATGTTGCAGTGAGAGAGAGAGAAGCAGACACACACACATGCACACAGAGAACCACATGCACAAACACAAAAGAACCAGAACACACCCAGAACAGACACATGCACACACACATCCAGAACCAGACAGAGGCAGAAAAACACAGAACCATATGTGCAGGTGCATGGAGCCATGCTCCTGGGCCGCTGGACAAAGTCCAACCCAACAGTGCCCTGGTCCTGCCAGAGCCCCTGTGCTTCCCTGGGGAGCCAGGCCCCAGGCAGCAGCACAGCTGCCTAAGGCCCTGGCCCGGAGCCTGCACATCAGCCCAACCTCCCACCCACCCCACACAGCTAAGCCTGCAAAAGGTGTGGTGTTCCCGGCAAGGGGCAGCGCTAACCTCTTTCTGGTCGGGGGGGGCTGGGCCAGAGCTGGAGCCCGGTCCGCTTGCAGCAGGGCTTGCAGCTGCCTGCCTGGGCTTCATGGCTGGCAGCAGCTGCCTAGAATCCAAGCTGGTAGTGGTGTGCCAAGCAAAATGGCATCATGTGCCATGCTCGGCACACATGTCGGGGGTTGCTGACCCCTGGTCTATCAAGACCCTGAGGTCTCTTTCAGTTGTAGTGCTAGTAAGCGTAGTGCTGCCGAGCCTGTAAGCATGATGCGGGTTGTTTCTCCTCAGGTGGAGCACCTTACATTTTTCAGTGTTGAACATCATCAGGTTTTGATCCACCCAACTTGCAAGCCTGTCCAGGTCAGCCTGTATCTCCCGCCTATTCTTCAGCCTGACCACAGTCCCCCATAATTTGGTGTCATCTGTGAAATTTATCGAGTTCTGCGGTTCCCTAATTTGACCATGAACACATTGTGGGAGCCCAAGTCAAAGACTTTTTTGAAATCCAAGTATATGACATCAACCTCATCTTTCTTGTTGGTAATCAGAACAGACAAAAGACCAAGCAAAAGAGGCAGGAAGGGATCCAGTGTTGGACTGTACAACACACTTTGCTGTAGACTAAAATAGCACAGAGACCAACTGCCTGGAAAACTAGAACTTTGCTTGCTGTGAGGAGACACACACAGAGTAACATCTGCGAGGCATGGGACCCGTGGAGGGGAGGTTGAAGCGGGTATTAAGGCCCTTGTCAGCAGGGTGAGTAATGGGTAGCTTCCTGCCTTAGTAACAACTCTCATATTTTTCCATCAAGGGGAGTGAAGTGGGTGGTTAGCCCATGAGCAGGGCAGCTGGTGAAGACCTAATGAGGAGGCCACCCTGTTACAGAGTGAATAACTTCAAATGGACAGTAATATTTTAAGGTTATTAAATCTGTACATGAACATGTTCCCACAAATAGATGAGTTATTTCTAAATATGGAACCTAATTCCTGAAATCACTTAGACATTTGTGAAAAATTAGACACCAGGAACATTTTTTTTACTGCTCATACTCACATTGCTTGTGCAACCATTCCCTAAAAAGAGGCACCTTTATTCTATAGGCTGTCACGCACTGAAATAGCAGCTGCCAAAGTGCCTGCCAGTATGTACAATTCTCCATTTTTCATGCATAAATATAATTTATGGAAAAGCCACTGTGTAAGCATGTTTTGTTTCTAAACGTCTGTGTCCCAGCCGCCAGCAGAGGGTTCGGGATTGAGAGAGTGGTCGGGGTAAAAAAGTGAGAAAGGTTTATTGACTTAATAAACACACACAACTACACGTAGTATAATAAGACAACAATGACAGACAATAACAATTCGCGTTGGCAACTTATCGGCAGTCCCCCTCTGATGTCTGATGTACAAGTTCCTCTTCTACAAAGCTCAGCAAAGTTAGGCGTTCCTGATCAGCACTGTCCGAGGGGTACCAGGAAGGACCCTGGTATTCAGTCCTCATGCTTCTCAAGATCCACTGGTCCACTGAATTCAGGTCAGCAGCTAATTTTAAATCAGTAGCTTCTCTCACACCGCTGCATCTTCCTTCTAATGATTTCCAGATGTGCTAGCCAATTTATAACTTCTGAGCTATGCTGATAACTTGCAGCCATTCATATTCTCCCACTACAAACTTTCCTTAGGACTGACCAATAGCAGTACAAGCCTTTGCATTCTTCTGATAAGGTTAATTTTGACTATGCTACAAGGCCTACTACTACTTCTACAAGGCCTTGCTAAGTTTACTAGGCCTCACTACATACAAGGCCTCACTAATCTTTTACTTTAATTAGGCTCTTAGCGGCAACATACAGCTTACAATATCTAAAGAAACAACAAAAACACCTGGTCTAATCCTCACAGAGTGCTCAGCAAACACCTTTATCACACAGACAGTTTTCAGCTGTCACAGTCTATCCCAAACCTTCCTCCAGATCTTGAAATATCTCAACACACCAAAACAATCAATGTTATTTAAAGATGATTCTTGTGCATTTTAATATTCTCCCAGTTTACATACTTGAAATAAGCAGGCAGGCTGAGGAGGCTGCAAAATATGCATTCTTTAATCCCGACCAAGCTGGACAGTCTAATTTTAGGCATACTTGCACTGACTTTGTCAGAACTCCATTAGAAATCTATAGAAATACTGCATTCTATTAGAAATAGTTAATCCATTTTCCTGTCAGGTAAAAAAGAAAAGAAATGAACATTCACATATTTCTCTAGTTATTATATTTTTATCTCTCTCTTTCACTTGCTTTTTCATTTTTTTATGTTTATTTCTTGGATTTATCATATTTGGTAGTAAAGATACTGAATTAAAGGAGACTGCCTTGTATAGATACTTTGCACCAGAAAACCATTCAGCAAATGCTGCACAAGAACCATCCTTGCCATCATGAAAAGACAGAATGATGGGCCTGGATTATGCATCTCTCTCCATCTCTTGGAAAGAGATGCACAAATGAGGATGGCTGCCATGGCTGTCTCTCTGTAAGTAGCTCTCTTAATACTGATCCGATTTCATTTCCGCAAGCACAAGGTCTTCTCAGTTGGACACACGGAACAGGAAACCATGGACACCCTAGTGTTGTGCTGGCAGAACTGCTTTGGTTAATTAGGCTGTTTGTTTTTACTGGTATATACAAGGGTCTGGGCACAGTTTTAGGGGATGAAGGTGCCTGGTACCAGTAGAGGGATTGCCCCTGCTCCTAAGGAAAATTCAGTGCATACACTTCAGAACCCCAAAACCCTGCCCAGCCTCATCCCTGTGATGTCCCTCACTGGCTCCTAGCTTCCCCAGGGAGCCGGGAAAGGTACACGTGCGGCACAGTCGCCTCGAGTGCACAGGCAAGACCTTTTGTTGCTTTCCGGGCAGGGTCAATGAGCCCCCGCGCGACCCTCCGCGCTGCCAGGGCCAGAGCTGCCAACACCCCGGTGAGCCTCGCAGGCGCGATCGTTGCGTTGTGACTGACAGCCTAGGAGGAGACCTCCAAGCCGGCAGAGGGCGGCCGCCTCCACCACTGCTGTCCCCCGTGCTCCTGCCCCGGAAGGGAGGGAGGCAGCGTGGCCTCCGCGGGGTCGCTGGGGTTTGCGGCTGCTGCTCGCGGGGTGAGTTGTGGGGCCGGGACGCGGCTGCTGGAGGCCGTGCGGGCGCGGGCGGGGCTGGTGAGCTTGCGGCTGCTTGGGACGTTTCCGGCCCGAGCGTTCCAGCCGCGCTGGCGCTGGGCGAGCCGGCTCGCTCCTCACGGAGGGGCCGCCGCCTACGCGCAGCCCTGGGCTCGCTTGGATGCTAGGCAGAGAAGCCAAGTGCGATTGCGGCGCTGATTTCCTTGTTCCCCCTCGGCAGCTGTGCCTTCTGCTGGGTTTCGTACCCAGCCTCGGTTATGGCTGCAGGGCTCTGCAGGGAAGTTAGTTCTGGTACCCAGCCTCCTCTTGGGTCTTGTGTCAGCCATTGTTCTCTGTTTGGGAGCAGATTTCATCACAGCGCGGGGTGGATCTGCCCCGGCTCTTAGAGCAGGCTCTCTAGGGCAGGGGTGTGCAATCTTTTTGAATGTGGGGCCGGATCATGAACTTTTCATCACCCAGCAGGCCGGCAAGCCATATTCAAAGACCTCACAGTAAGAGGTATCACGTCACCCCCCTCCCTGCCCCCTGAAAGTACAGTGTTTACTTTTGTTTCCCGTCGCAGCACCTCGGGCCTCAGAAAACAGCTTGAAAGGCCGCATGTTGGACAAGCCTGCTGTAGGGCCTCTGTCGCGCCACAGGCTGGGCGCTCCCAACACTGCAGGCTGTTGCCTTTATTTGTGATCACGCAGTGGCCTTCCTCTGTCCTGTCCCTGTTGAGACTTTGATGGGACTTGGCACGTGCGGGTACTGACACACAGCGTGTTTATGCTGGTGGAACCTGCCTTTCTGCCAGCATCACACTGAAGTGGACGTATAAGTGGCTGCAGACAGATGAGCAAGGACGTTTGGTTCCCCTTGACTTGTGCTACTGATGGTTGTACCCAAGAGAATGCTTGTGCCACACATGCTCTGGCACATGGCATGGTGAGGTAGGGGAGGCTGGGGCCAGCAACTGTGCTGATCCTAGCCGCCTTACTTGGGATCCTGGGTATCAGGGAAGCTGCAGCTGTGGTGTCCCTGCAGCTGGGAATCTGGCTGGCAGCTGGAGTTTTGGGTTGCACGCACTGCTGCCATATATGCTGCCCCACTTTTTTTCCATGTGGGTTTTTTTGACCCCAGGATCTGGTAGGTAGCAACATGGGGAATGCGTGAATGTGCAGTGTGTGATGCCACAGATAGGTCTTCAGCACTACATGCTACATGGCCACAGTTGTTTGGACATGGCTGGTAAGTCCCTGGTGTGTGTCACTTGCCTCTAGGATAAAGTTACCTCATTATAGTGATCACGGGTTCAAAACACACAGGCATACTCCATGAGAAGAACTCCAAGATAACCTTTAAGTGAAGAGCAATAGGCAGCTTCTGCTTAACTGAGGGACCCAGTGCCCAGTTGATCACATTTCCCACCCTCTGTAGTCTAAGTAAGGAAATTTTCTAAATTATAACTGTGTGTCACTGCACCCAGGAAAAGACAGTAGTTACTGTGTACCTGTCTCCTGTGTCCGGTTTTAGCTGACTCCTAGGAGCCAGCAGTTGCCTGCTCTTCTGTATGTCCTAGACGCAGATGTAGTTTACAGTTGTGTAGTAAATGAGTGTAAAATTATGCTAGTTAAATGTGTTACATGTCAGAATCCAGATTTGAGGTCTCGGAAGGTGAAGAAGAAGAACTGGGTTCTGCAGCCTGGCACTGCAGTTCAGTTCCAATAGGAGAGAACTGAGAAGCTGTCAGAGGCATAAAGGTATGCTGCCAGCATAGTGCACAGAGCTCTATACCCTGCTCTCTGTAAAGGTCTAACAGCATTGTCTGCCAAAATGTTGAGGGCTGTTAAAAGATCATCATACCTGAATAGTTAGCTTGGTAAATTGTAAAAATGGGTTGCTACACTAACAGGTTCTGTGTTTTTGAAAGAGTTATTTGGAGGTCATTGGGGAGGAAATGTGCTGTATAAGGTCAGGTTATTTTTGTGTGTTGATTAAAACAGCCAGAAGTTAACTTTACTGATCGATAGTTAACACTGTTCCTGCTCTAGGCAACAACAGGTATGATCTCTTTTCCAGTTTTCATTTAAGTAACCATATATACCTCATCCTAGCTTAGTTTGAAAAACAGGTTTGTATAGACATACTGTATTTTACACTTACTTTCTACCTATAAATATTTTATAATAACATATTTATAAACAGCACTTTGGGATATGTTGAATTTAAAACCACAAAAAGGAAATGTGTAATGAAGACACAACTTTTATTATCAGGCCACTTTTATTTAGGTTTTATAGTTCATGGCTTGTATGATAATGACATTATGTTCTTCTGACTGGTGATTAGCACAAAATGCTATCCATGGATTTTTGGGTCATGCAGGGATAGCTGAAATGAGGTTCAATAGGAGACCAACAGCCAAAAAAAAAAAAAGGTAACCCCTTTTTATTAAAAGACTATAAATCTGGTTTGGATTCAGCTAGTTCAACTGTCTTATTTAAATTTTGTCCCCAGGACCCATATACACCCAATCTGAGCTGTTATTTTTAAGGGTAAAACTACATATGAAAGTAAATATGTATAATAGAAGTATTGGCATAGTAGCATGTGATCCTATTGTTATTCTCTACTCTTTTTTTTTCTTACCAACAAAGAGAGTGGATTATTCCTTTCAGTTGCCCAATGTACAGTTTTTTCAGTTATTCTGGGGGGGTCTCAATATATTTTGTTAAATATTATTTTTGATGTTAGAGAGAATGAAGCGGTAAACTTCTAGTTCTGACTATAGCTTTACTAAACGGATAGAAAATACAGCCTTTTCTCTTGTACACATGCTCCTTTTTCCCAAAAACTAGCTGCTGGAAATTGTGTGCATTATACATAAGGATCTTACTGATTCTCAATTTTACGGATTTGGTGAAAAACACAAAATTAGGCATTGTCTTCAAAATCCCAGGGCAGGAGGACTAAAAATAAAATGCTCATGGCTGCTGCAGCTTGGCCATGCAGCCCACCTGGGAGGGCCACCACTGGTGAGAAGGGGAGCCCCTCATTGCTGATTGGCTTGTTGTGCGGCCCTGCCCCTCTCTGCCAATCAGTGGTGAAGGGCAGGCCCGCATAGCGAACAGCCCTTTCTGAGTCAGCAGTGAGGGGAGGGGCCTCATGATGGACAACACTCTCAACCAATCAGCAGTGAGGGAGAGCTCCTCACTGCAGGCTCAGGGCTGGGAGCTGCGCTGGCCTCTTCCCACTTGTGGGGGCTGGGCTGGGGCTATGCTTGGACCGGGTGGAGGCAGGGCAGATGGTGGTAGCACTATGCTGCAGCTTTGGGGAATTTTGGGATGGCTATAGCCACCGTGTAGCATCCCCTCCCAGCGCTGCCAGTGCCATCTGGCTTGAGCACAGCCACAGCCCAGCCCACCCGCTGGGAACAGGTTGGCATGATCCCTGGCCCTGAGCCTGCAGTGGGCAGCCTGTCCTCAACCTACGCACCAATCCAGGGGGATACATGACCCCCATGTCTCTGTCAGGGGTGCACGCAGTGTTGGGGAGCCTCCCCCACTCCATGCCCCCTGGATGAGCTGCCCATGGCTCAGTCCTGCTCCCAGCAGGGCCATATTCACTGCCCTGGCTGTGCAGTGCTTGCTGCTGCCCCACTCCCTCCTTCACCATGGGGGCCTCAATTTGTCCCCCCGCCTCCTTTCCCCCTCTCCCCACAGACTTACCATTCGGACAGTGTTCTCCAAGCTGCCTGGCTTCGTTCCTGGTTGCACAGATACATGCAGTATTTATTGGTGACGTTGTTGGCTACACTGGCCAAAAAATGCCAATTACCGATAACGTTTATTTTCTTTTTATTGGTGCCAGTCCGATATGTACCAATATATTGGTGCACCTCTAGGGAACACTTAAACTACAAAGCAAGGAACACTGAAGCAAAACAACTCTCTCTGTATACACAGTTATTTCATAGTGGGGTAAAGAGGACTCTTAATTTACCAAAAAAAAAACCAAACAGGGATTCTTGTAACTCTCTGTTTCTTTTTTTTGTACTGCTACCAGCTTACCATTCCCTACATTTTCTCATAGCATGTTTATTTCCCTGGCTGTTTAAAGACAGGAAATGCAGCAAAAGCAAGTGTTTGCTTCCTGGAGGAGATGGCATTGCAGAATGCACTTGCCCACTGATTAAAAACATCTTTCCCATGCTGTGTGTGTGTGTTTAATGATAGCTTCTATCCAGTTGTCTTGGAAGGACTGGAAGATACTGAGTATATTTCAGAGCAGTTTTTCCCTCCACTATTGTATTTCTGTTCTCATGGCTTAAAACTGCATTGTCTTTTAGTTCAAAGAGACGAGGACATTTTGTGCTATCTTTTGGATCAACTATAGTGGAGAAAGCTGTTCTGTTAGGAGACTTAAAGAAGGGCACTTACGGTAGTTTTACATGTGCTCTGACACATTCTGATTAGAAAAGTGTCATTACAGATTCAATCTCGAGTAATCAAGTCTGCTGGAGCGTTTTAATCAGAACGCTCCAGCTTGCTGCAGCATCTTGCATATTAAGGTTATCATTCAACATGCTTTAGTTAAAGTGCCCCTGCCACCATTTTGAAATGCGGGGACACTGAATACACAAAACACTATGAGCATTTTAGTTAGAGTGGCTCCCGAGAGCTGCCTTAAAACGCTGCCTCCGCCCTAACCCTGGAGCAAATGTACAGATGCCCTCATGCTTGAAAGCTTGTGCAGCAGCTCTCCCAACTATATATATAGTTGGTCCAATAAAAGATCGCTAAAATTCCTTGCCTCTCATACATTTCCTAGACCATCGTAGCAACACTACCACTCCAGCCCTATTCTGTCTTTAAGTTAAATCCCATAGGATAGGTTGAGCTCTAGGGGAGACATGGTTATTTTTTTTTTAATTTTATTTTGCTATCTTTTGATTTTTAAAGTGACACAATCAACTTTGAATTTTATTATACTGCTACTGCTACTAATTTTGCCAGGGGCCTGAAATGATCTGACTTATTCTACAAGGCATAGTCTCACTGATTGTATGCAGTGCTGGGAAGTGAAACCATTGAAACTTTTCTCAGTTTCTTTTAGTTGTGTCTGAATGGAAAGCATTTGATTGGGAGTGTGATTTATTTTCCTTTTAGACTAGTAGTGTCAATTTTTTGAAGACTTACTGGTTTGCATGCAGCAGACTACAGAGACTCTCAGAGTTTGGTTCTTAGCAAAAAGTACAGAGTTTTCTATACACAAAGAGACCATCTGTGTCTTTGTATGCTGTCTTCCAAAGTGGAGGCATGGTCTGTGACTACAATATTTATAATAATCTTTGACTGTGACCATCTTTATCCCTTTCCAGTGTCTAGAACGTGTTTATATCACTATTTAGTCATTTAAAAAAAAACCAACCTTGCCCACAGTAGAATTGCAGCAGTTGGTGCTCCCTTGCCCTACACTTCCTTTCTCTAGAAAGGCTGGTTTTGATTTCTTTATCTTCACACGCTTCCTTTTTTCAGGTTCCAATCATGGCAGCTTACACTTGCATCACTTGTCGTGTGGCTTTCAAGGATGCTGATATTCAACGTGCTCATTACAAAACTGACTGGCACAGGTATAACCTGAAGCGGAAGGTCGCTGACATGCCTCCCGTCACTGCCGAGAACTTCCAAGAGCGCGTCCTAGCGCAGAGGGCAGTGGCAGAGGAGCAGGGCAAAATCACTGCCACATACTGTACAGCCTGTAGCAAGCGGTTCTCCACTTTCAATGCTTATGAGAATCACCTGAAGTCCAAGAAGCACCTGGAGCTTGAGAAGAAAGCTGTTGAGGCCATCAGCAAGAAGGTTGAAACCTTAAATGAGAAAAACCTGGAGAAGGGGCTGGTTCCTGAAAACCTAAACAAAGATGCTATGAATGCAGCCATTCAGCAAGCCATCAGGCCCCAGCCATCTTCCTCGCCAAAGAAGATGCCCTTGCTTCCCGTTGACACAAGCAGCTCTCTAGCTCCTGCTGGAGGTCCCAGTCTCTCTCAAAGCAGAGAGCGACTGGAAAAGCCTCCTCGGATCCAGTGGTTTGAACAACAGGCAAAAAAGTTGGTCAAACAGCAAGTAGAACAGGAGGAAGAAGATGAAGATATGGAGGAAGGTAAGAACCAGCAAGCAGGTAGAAGGTGGCTTGGGCTATAGCAAGTGTTGGTTGTTTTTTCAGGTAGAAGCGTCTCATTTTAGTTTTTGGTTTTTTGTTTTGTTTTAAAAAATTTCCTCTCCAAGGCATAAAAAGGCTCTTTTACTACTTCATGTTTAAACTTTGTAGTCTTAAAAAAAATGCAGATTTCTGTAGCAGGGCAAAGCAAAATATAATGTTTTTACTAAATGTTTGGTCTTCATAATCCTGGACCTCAGTGAGTGGTGGGAATAAGGAGGTGCTAAACTTTGCGGGCAGTTAATTTGCTGGATAAACTATTATAAACATGCAGTTGCCAATGGGAGTTTTCAAAAGAAAGCCCGCACCGAGGAAGATAGCAAAAAAATGTTCTGGCCATGAAAATGGAAAAAAACAGTCAGCATTTAGTGTCCAGTATCTCATCCATTGTTTTATTTACCTATTGCAGGGAGAAATGGGAAGTTTTGCAGTTTCTAAGGAATAGAGGCTACTTTTTCCCTTCTCTCTCTGTTGCTGCCTTTAGGTGCATAGAAGCAGTCCATGAAATTTACTCTGTTAGAGCCGTTGTATGCTAGTGTGATTCCCTTGACAGCTTGAGGAATCAGGCCCCATCTGTTTTAACAGCTAGGCCTATTGTCATCCTGTTGTAGGGGTAATGCGCATATCTGAATTTGGATCTTGGAAGGGATGTAAAGCAGGAGCCAACTTGTAACTTTCCTGTATTAATGTATTATTACTAAAAAGTGGCACTGAATCTCAGTAAGTTATTTAATCTTTTTGCATCAAATGCTTAATGTTTTCTATTGGTGCTGTTTATTCGCCAAACCACATCCTGAAAGGATTTTCAGTTCCAGGTTTTTTAAGCTAGAATTTTGTCCCCTACAGTGGCACTGTTTCATCTTGCATCATGCACCTGTCCAGGCTGGTAGTTCACAGTAGTTACCTCTGACAGTGTTTAAGCGAATTAGCAAAGTAAATTTTCTGTCTTTTGTGTAGCTAGATGAACATGCCACAAGCAGCCCTCTCCCTTGATACAGAAAATAAGTGTCTTGGAATCCTTTTATTCCTAGATGTGATGCCCTTGCCCAAGGGAAACATGGAGTGTGTTGACAGGGCAGTGTGAGGAATCTTTTTCTGCTCCCTGTTGTGTTGGGTTTTTTTTCTCTGTGAAACTCATGAAAGTGACCTGAAAACATTTGTCTATCTCATTGCTTCAAGACTGTGCTTATAGGTCACTTTTTATTTATTTGTTTGTTTACTTATTCCCATTGGCGCAAAGCCATGTTAATGAAAAGAGGATCTTTGCTGTAATAAATGTCACTACTGAGCTGGGACTCAAAATAGCAGCCCTCCTATTCCCGACGGAAGCATGTTGGTTTTAATAGTCTGTTCCTTGGGTTGTAATGTTGTGTGGTGTAAAAATATAGTAGCAGGATTTTCATAGAAAAACAAATTTGAGGCACTGTTCTTTCGTCTGGTAGCCTTTCTATTAGAGTTGCACTGACACATTGGTTGCGTATTAGATAGGCACCAATAAAAGGAAAATTAATGTTATTGGCTATGGGCTTTTTTTTGGCCAGTGTAGCCGATCACATTCACCAATAAATGCAGTATGCCTTCTGGCTGGGGACCCTGGACATCGTATCCATGCTGCTCTCCATGCTGCCTGGCTGCGTTCCTATAAATCGGCTATCGGATTGGTATCTGCCGGTATAGCTAATTAATAATTGGCTATCTGTATCAGCCAAGAAAATCTTTATCGGTTCACCTCTACTTTCAAAGGCAGCCTTGCCTTCAGTGTGCAAATAGATGTTCGAAGTCTGTTTTATTGACAGTGATAGCATTTGCAACTTCACCAACCAGTGCTCAGAAGTCAAAGCATTTTATGTGTTTGCCTCTTTATCAGAGGTGTTCATTCCTAAGCCTGCTCTCCTGGGTAGAATAGAAGCCAATATGCAAAATACAGGTCTGTGAAAATGAAAATGTGTGGCAGTGAGGATAAGAGCGAATGGGGGACAAAGTGTGAGACAGGTAGGTGGGTGGTGAAAGGGGGATCCACGCCATGCCAGGACAAAAAGTGACTTGCTAACGCATCTATTCTACCCAGGAGAGCACGAATTACATTCGTATAGCACATTTACTTGGAAAAATATGATGTAACCTGGTGTGTTCTGCATTAGAAGGCTGGGAGGATGTGGATTCAGATGAAGACTTAGACACTGAAGGTGCTGAGATGGAAGATGATGAGCAGGTTGACACTGAAGGAACACCAGCCATGGGTGCAATACCAGCCATGGACTGCTTGTTTTGTCTTCACCATTCAAGCTCTCTCATGAAAAATGTGGCCCACATGACAAAAGTCCACAGTTTCTTTATTCCAGATATAGAATACCTCATGGATCTCAGAGGGCTGATTAAGTACTTGGGTAAGTCTTTGAACCGGGATAAACATCCTGTATTCTTTCAGTAAATATCTCTGAGAGTTGAGGCATGACTGCAGTGTCGTATGACAGTGGAACCCAGCTTTTTTGGACTGTGGGTCAGATGACTGGTCCCACCTCTACCTGTGGGCTAGATCCTGTCTGTGGGCCTGATCCGGTACATGGTACTGGCCCAGCCTGGGCCTGATTTCATGTGGCTGGATTGGGCTCTGGCTGGGCCATTTCTGCCCAGCTGGATCAGGCCTCAGCTTGATCCAGCTGTGTGGGAGCAGAGCCCAGTCCCTCTGTGTGGGGCTGTCCCAGCCAGGGCTGAATTAGCCCTGTGGAGATTATTAATTTGGTGGTGGGGATGCTCGTCTGCCTCCAAATTTCTGGATTTGTGGGGGAACCTGCAAGCTGGATCTGGCCCATGAGCTGGAGATTGATGATCCCTGTCATATGGCATTGCTCGTTTTCATGAAAATACATGGCTTAATTCTAGTGGATATGGCTCATGCCATGCTGCCAGGTGTGCCTGTGCAGCTGTGCACACCACACACCTTAGAGGGAACAATGGATGTGAGGTCCCCCTCCCCCTCCACAGTAAGCAGGTGTGAAATAATTGTGCTCACATGTTAGTTTGTGGCCAGATTTCTAACAGTGAGCAGATTCCTGCATCAGTTTTGCAGTGCCTGAATCAACCAGGTGCTAAAATATTTACACTGAAAGTGCTCAGTCCTCAGTTTTGCTCCTCCAGTAGTGCATGACAACATGGACATTTTCCAAACCACATCAGTTAAGCCAAGGTGGCAAAGCATGGTAGGTGGAATGATTACTCTGACCAAACTAGAATACTGTTAATCTCTGCTCTCTACAGCCACAAGGAGCAGATATTGAGAAGAACTTTTGGCACAGAAAATGACTGTTTTGGATAAGCAAGTAAATGACCATAATTAAAGCATTTTATAGCATTTAATAGAAAACTGGGTGTTGCATTGGGAGGCTTTGCTTAGCATATGTGGGGTCTTTTTGTTCTGTCATCTGAAATCTCCTTTAAACATACAGGCTTCTTTCTAGAGGAAGCCTTGTGGTTAGGGAACAGGGAAATCAGAGCTGTAATCTAATTCCTGGCAGTGATAGTTTTAACTTGGAGTAAGTCACTTGGTCTGCCTCAGGTTTCATGCCTGCAGATCAACAACTACAGCTGATTATCAGAGAGACTGTAAACTCCAAGCATTCCCTTTTTCCAGGAGAGAAAGTTGGCATTGGGAAGATCTGTCTGTGGTGTAATGAGAAGGGTAAATCCTTCTACTCGACAGAAGCTGTGCAGGCTCACATGAATGACAAAAGCCACTGTAAGCTCTTCATAGATGGGGATGCAGCCTTGGAATTTGCAGACTACTATGATTTCAGGTAAGGAAGTTCTTTCTCCATCTTGCATGGACAGAAATGGAGAGAGAACCCAGTCAAACTTAGAACCAGTTGCATCTACTACTAATCTTTTTAGCCATGAGGCCTCTTTCTGGTATTTCTTCTTGGGATACTAGTTAAAAAATATACTTGCTGATCAGGAAACTTTCTTGTATTTCTTTCAGTTGATTTCTAAACACCTGTAAGCTTTTTCTTACTGTTCTTAATCTGTTAACAGAATCTTTCCAAGTAAACAGGTGCATCGCTACCATCAGTATTACCGATTAAAATGCTATCTTGTATGTCCAATTGCTGATTTCAGTACAATACAGTTCATTCCCTAGTGCTTTGTCTTGTTCAGTTTTCTGTACATGAGCAAAGGCCTTGAGGTTATAAAGGAATACAAAGGCCAAAATGCATATCATGGGGCTGCTGCCACATTAATAATGGTAGTAGAGTTCCCTACTGTAGATGCATCATATGTCAGCAGACGATGAAGGGGGGGAGATGGTTGCTGCCAGAATTTTCCCAGTTTTCCAAACAACAGAAGCCTTCTTCAGATGGCTGCAGTTGCATATGCATACACTTGGTATGCTGGTTACCTTACACTGTTGGATAGTTATTTAGTACTTTCTGAGACGCGCTTACCTTGGAATAGAATGAATTAAGTTGGGGTAGAGCTCTACATAGTGTCTGTTCCATATTTCCTTTAGAGTAAAGTCAAATTACTTGAAAGTAAAGGTAAGTTACACCCGTGTATCTGTTGTTTGTCTGCAGCTGTCATTAGTTGTAGCCATTTCTTCAATATGAACAGGCTTCCTGACACCAAAGGGTGAGGTGCCTTAACAGTGCCTACTGCCATCATGTATCTCCAGAGAGTTGTTTATGTGTCCATGCCAGGCACTGGTGTAATTTTATTCGAGAGCAGAACCTGAGCTAAATTACCCCCAGGAAAAGGTATTGTGTGATTGCACTTGAAGCTTTTGTGTAGCTTTAATGTTTACTCCATTTTCTGTCTGTATCCTCTTAGAACAGTGGTGCTCAACCTTTTGGCCCTGCAGACTACGTAATTGGGGCAAGGTTGGTCTGTAGGCCAGATTGAGCTCCATGTGCCAGGTTCAGGCTTTGGGACATGGCAGCACCCCCTCCCTGCTTCCCCCACAGGGAGCAGCCCTGGAGCCTAGCACTACCTTCTCTCACCCCTGTGTGCCAGGATTGGTTCACAGGGGCCTGGCAGTACCCTCTCCCAGCCCAGTGCACAGATAGAGTGTCCTGGGGGCCTGGCACTGTCCCCTCTCACCCCTGCAGGCTGGGATTGGGTCCCAGGGCCCTGGTGCTGCCTCCCTCCCACCAGGATTGGTCCCTGGGGGCCTGGCCTTACCCTCTCCCACTTCAGCACACTGGAATTGGGTCCCAGGGGCCCAGAACTATCCCTGCCCACCCCTGCTTTCTGGAATTGAGCACCAGATACAGGGTGCAGGGCTCCCTGTGCATCTGGAAATTTGGCGGAGGGGTAGTGGTGACACCACTGTCCCACCTCAAATTAACATACCTGTAGTGAGCTCCACAGGCTGCGGGTTGAGCACCCCTGTCTTAGAAGAAGGAAGGGAGGAGGTATTCTTGACTAAATGTCTGTTCTGGGTTCTTAAACTTAGCAGGAGCTGATGTGAAGAGCTTTGGTCTAACATGTATGTATGTATGTATGTATGTATGTATTTTCAAGCACAGGTGAAGGGAAGAGCTTTTGTTCAGCTATATTAATTTTGCTCTTGAAAATGTCTGTCATGGTGGCAGTTGCTTTCCAAGCATGGTCTGGGAATTGCTGCAGACCAAGGTGTTTGCTCTATGCTGCCTTTTCCTTAGCACTCATTTTGCAGCTTCAGACTTTGTGCCACTGAATGGGGAGGAGGAAAGGGAATCTGTGATTACGGCTGATATTGAAATATAGATGTTATGGTGAAACCCCTTCTTTAGATGGAGCCTGGCAGCTTTCTTGGTCTCTACAGATTTACAGTGCGCTTGTTTTATGCAAAGTGGTTCTAAGATGGGCTTTACCGGGTGATCACATGTCATATAGCTGCTGTTGCTGTTGTTTCACAGGACCAGTTACCCTGAATACAAGGAAGGGGAGGATGCGGAAATGTGTAAAGATCTCTCATCAGAGAAAAATTTAGAATACGACGATGACACGATGGAGCTGATTCTCCCTTCAGGTAGGCACAGTAAAAATCCTCCATCAAAGATACCTTGTCACTCTGGAAGTGCTGTATTTGCAGCTATTGCAAGCAGGGACACGCTGTCAGGTAGATTTCATTTGCTGATGTGAAACAAATGGTTTTGCATTCAGTTGTCACTGAATTTTGTTATTTCTGTTATCAAACTGAAGAATTATTTCCTTTGTTTGGAATTATTTCCTTTGTTTGAGTTTAGGTTATGCTTATTGGCCATCTGAACCTGAGATACAGAAGACTTCTTTTCATGAGTTTGGTTGCCTCTGGCATTGTCTTTGGCTTCATTTTGTTGGGATTTTATGTTACTTTGACTCATTTACACCCAAGGAGCCTGTATATTTCAGTACAGTCTTTCTGGGAGAAGGTGCGAGTTTGCTAGGTTTTTTTCCCCAAAATAGTTTGGCATTATATGGCCTGGTCACATCAGTTTGACATGCATTAGCAATGACTTATTCAGGTATTGATTTCCTTCTACATCGATAAGATATGCTGCACATTACATGCTATGCCATAAGCATGGTACTCTGCAATGGTGCTTGGATATACGCTGTATATGTTTTAGTTCAGCCTTTTCCATTACCCTGGGAAGTACTGTTGGTACTGTCTTTGGAGGGGGAAAAGGTTACTTTTTCTGTCAGTCTTAGAGTTCTTAATCTGTCACTTGAAATGGGTAAATTGTGGCACCTCCCATTTGAGGGGGTGGTCTCTTTAAAGATTATCTGTAGTGGGGGACTGCCTTTGTGTACCCATTTGTTTTTTCATCTTTTATTCTGTTTATAATGAATAAAGTGGGTGTGTAGCAGGGGGGCCATGAGTGCCACAAGGGGGTACAGGTCACTTCTGTATATGACACGTGGCAGATTGTAGAGAGGACAGGCAGCACAGTGGCAGATAGGGTAGGGAGCAGAAAGCAGAGCAGCAGATTGCAGCAGGGGAAGGGGATCAGCGTGGTATGTGGGGAGGGCATGAGGCTAATTTGTAGTATGCCTGCCAAAAAGATTGGCCTCCACTCATGTGTAGTGTGACTTTAATAGCCAGGGTGGCTGGTTGGTTGGGATTTTTAACCCCAGAAAGGTAATGCCAGAAAGGGAGTGCCAGCCACGGGGTGGGTGAGGGGCCACTTTCCCACCCCCGTGCTTAGCTTTTCCCTGGGCTCCTTCCCAGCGTGGAGGCAAGTAGCCCTTCCCCTGCCCTGTGGCCGGCGTCCTGCACTGCAGCCACTCGCAGCCTGCATGGGGCTGTTCTGAGCAGGCACAGGCAGCCCCACATGTGCTGCAAGTGCCTCCAGCGTGGGGTGCCAGCCATGGGGTGGGCGAGGGCCGCTTCCCTCCCCCCACACCCACTCAGCACCACCTTGTAACCCGGCCCCACTGCCAGCCTGGACCCCATGCCGGCTCTGGGCTCACCTGTTGGGGCTGCGTGTGGCAACAGCAGGTGCAGCCCCCTCCACTTGTCACACTGGGCAGTGTTTGCGACTGCCTTCTCTGGGCTGCCCAGCACATGAGCTCTGGGCGGGCAGCAGCAGCCAACACTGCCCGACGCGGCAAGTGGGGGGGCTGCAGCTGCTGATGGGTGAGCGCGGAGCTGGCACAGAGCCCAGGTTGGCAGCGGGGCCAGGTTACAAGCTGGTGCTGAGCGTAGGGAAAAGTGGCCTCTCGCTTGCCCCAGGGCCGGCACCCTGTGCTGTAGCCGCTTGAAGCCTGCATGGGGCTGCCTATGCCTGCTCCAGACAGCCCTGCGTGGCATGCGAGTGACTGCATCAGGGAGCGCTGGCCATGGGGCAGGTGAGAGACCACTTTTCCCTGTGCTCAGCACCAGCTTCTTCCCTGCTGGCGATCAGGGGGTCGGGGCTGTGTGCTGCCCCCTGCCTGTTCTGTGGGGCTAGGGACCACTGGGAGTGAGCAGGTGTGGGAGCCTGTGGGAGCACGGGGCCTGCACTGGTGTCCCAGGGCCAGTGCTGGCGGGACCCAGAGCGGGATGGCAGGAGCACAGAGTCCCAGCCAGCAGGAGCTCTGTGGAGCTGGGCCAGCTCCCCCCTCTCCCTGCTGGTGCAGCCTAGCCTGGCTCCACAGACCCCTGCCAGCCTGCACCCTGCTTTGGGCCCCACCAGTGCTGGCCCTGGGACATGGGTCCCAAAATGGTGACCAGGGGGTGGGGCACCTGTCAAGGGGCGGGGCTACCCATGCAGCCCTCGACAGCCTGCCAAAACTGGGTAAGTGGCCCTCCGCCAGAAGTAATTGCCTGCCCCTGAGTTAAAGGGACCCGGCTTAAATTAACAATATGCTTAGAAATGTTTTATTTATTATGTAGGAGCAACTAAGCCCTAAAATTGCTAGAACTGGAAGATTTCAAGTTTTGTTTAACTGCAGCACAAGGGTGACTCAGGAGAATTTGGAGAGCTGTCTAATTTCCCTTTGTGCCTTTGAAAATCTTTCTTTTGGAGTGGCAACTAGTGCCATAGTTTCCCTGTCTGTTTGCTGTAGATCACCCACAGTGACATACAAGGGAAGTGTTTAGGGGTAAATTAGAAGGGAAAGCAGATGCTGTGTCTTGAACCATTTCAGACTGTTTTACATGACTGAGTTTGAAGCTGCACAGTGCTAGGCCACTCTTGTGAAGAGTGTGGTGTAAGAACACAGAGTAGGGTAAAGTAAAAACAAGACAAGGTTCCCTAAAAATGTGCAATGTCATCATTGTGGCAGGCCAGTAGGGGGTGCTCCTGCATTGAGCCATCCACCTTTACTGCGCCTGACCACCTTCCAGGCTCCAAGTGCCTCCCTGGGGGTGCCTCATGTCTGGCCAAACCCCTTCCTGGAGCACACCCGCTAGCCTGAGGGTAACCCATCACCAGTTGCTGGGCAGACTGGCAATTCCTAGCTCCCCAGGGAGCCCAAGCCTCTCACCCAAGTATGTGATGCCAGTCATATAGGCAGAGGGAGCAGGTTTCCCCGCTCCCTCAGGAATGTATCCAGCTCAGGTTACCTAAAGAGATGGGGTAAGGTGTGTACCCTCTGCAGGGCCCATCTTAACCAAATTGTCACAGGGCAGAGTTTTTGGGGAGAAACAGAGATGGCCTTCTGCCACAATCATCTTTGTCATCCCGTCTGATCTGCCATATTTTTAAGGGAGCTCTCAAAGGCTTAAGAGACAAAACCAATACAGAACTTCATGAGCCCCTATTACTTATGGTAAAGTAGCAAAAAAGAGAAAAAAAGTACCCAGGTATTTTTAGTAGTGTTTGGTCACCTTTTAGGTTTATGATGAGAAATTTGGGAAATAAGGTGCCTGGAGTGGCAAGCTACATTTCTCAATAAATCACGACAGCAAGTAAGGTGCTACTGGTTGAGCTGTCCAATGATCCATGACAGGAAACCATTAGGGGGCAGTGTGAGACTGGAAATGTATTTTTTTTTTTTTTTATTCTAAAACATGTAGCCATAGGAAGGCAGACATCTCTGCAGAGGTTCTGTCTCTGTTTTATTGCGTGGGAGTGTGATAAGGACTTTAGATAAAAGTGTTTTTTATGGCATCACCATATGGATCTACAGAGTCCTAGAGAGTAGAGCTCAAGAGTTCATTTCTCCAGGCATCTATGTCCTAGCACTGAAGGCTTCATTTCTGTCACTGCCAAAGTAGATTTGGCTGATGTGAAACACAGGTCACCTAGCATATGTGTTAACCTGCTACTTTAACAGCAGGAGTCTTTTTAAATTTATCTGATTGCAAGGCTTGTAGATAATTGCGCAGAGTGCAAGGACAGATTAACAGGGGATGGAAAAGAGCACATTTAGGGGAATCAAAGTAATAAAAAATATAGTGCCAGACCCTTCTCTGGCACTATCTGGATCTCCTCATTGTGATGACAAGCAGTAATTAAATGATATTTGTGAAATCCAGTGAGTGACGAGCACACATCCTGGCACAGTACTTTTGAAAGGGAAAATCTAGTTTTCATCATGCTCTAGTAGGGAGGCAGGGATGGCATGGTGGCAGTTTTTCCTTGAGGCTGCAATTAACACTTGCTGTACTTAATTAGTGTTTCAGTGCTGTTACTAAGACAAACCATTTGTCATGTTAATGAACATCCGTCTGCCTCACTTTGGGGAAATATAAAAGCTGATATTTTGCCAAACCACAGTTTGCAGGTGTGGACAAGATCAGAAAACAAATATTTTTTTGCTTGTAGCAGGTGCTTACCCTCGTGGAAACAAGTCTGTCCTTCAGCCATGGTGGGAATTTGCCCTTCAAGCTTTTTTTTATATGTCGGCTTTTGATGTCCTGGATCCTGCAGTACCCAGGGCCGGATTAAGAGGCAAACTAGGTACATGCCTAGGGGCCTAAGTGAAGCCCAGCTGTGCCTATTTTACATATTACTGAGTGAAAAAGTAATATAAGTATACAGTATTAAGTTAGGGGCTTATGAGTTTGCCCACTGAAAGGTTAATCCGGTCCTGTCGGTACCTGAAGACTTAAATAATGCTTACAAGAGTTCATATGAGTATTGAACTCTTACTCTGCAACCTATAGTGTGCTTAGAATCTGGGGTCTGTACTAGATTTTTGTGAGCAGAGGGCTTTGCCTATTCAGTCACTTTATTTTCCCTATGTAGTTTCTTTTTACTACTTAGCCAGCCTCCCAAATTATCAGCATTCTTAAAAGATACAGGGATGGGGAATAATACTTCTTCCATCAAAGGACTAACACTCTGTGCCTTGTTTGTAATGAAATCAAGCTACTCTAGAATTCTAGTAGCGGACCTCTTGAGTGCCGTAAGGACTTTGTGATCTCTTTTTGACAAGAAAATGTAACAGGAAAGCTATCTCGCAACACCTGAACCAGAGAATGTGGTGATCAACGTTTGCCTGGCATTTTTAGGAGATGGAAGGCTCTGTGCCATGGAACTGAAATGAATCCCCTGTGACTGTGGGGCCTTGCAAGTAACGATAATGCACACACTTGGAATGGGTGTAGTCATTAGGTAGCACATGAGGGGCCCATTTCCGCCCTTCTCTTATGCAGTTCTGCACAGGTGAGATTTCATTGTTCCTCTCCATTGATTTGCAAGAAGCAGAGAACTTTACTAAGTATATTGAGTTGTCATTAGCACATTGATCTTTAAAACAGGATCTGATGGCTTTCTAAATAAGAGCCATCAGTCAGAAGACATTGGACTCAAGGCAGGCATTACAGTGGAAATTTTAATGAGCTGTGTGAAGACGGTCAGAAAGGCTGCCTTTGGGCCTTAAGAATCTATCAGTTCTGGATCAGTAATTTTGGACCATCCATCTCCCTTGAATTTTCTGCCTTTCATTAAATTTTCAGGGAGCCGGTTCTTTACCTGCGTGGCAGGTCTCTTGAAGTGTAGCATTCTACCTTTCCTGTCTCCAACATAAAGTGCACTAGAGGAGCTCCTACATTAATCACACACTTCTGTCACGGTCCTTAGAGTCTTAAAACTTCAGAGAGTCTTAAAAAGTTCTTCTTAACATTGTTATTTTCCTGAGTCTTTTGTGGTGAACTGGATTTGTTGACTTCAGAAGTTGCCCCATCATGCTTTTTTTTTGTCACTATAACCTGTCCTCTTGTGTAACAGGTGCCAGAGTTGGTCACCGTTCTTTGATGAGATACTACAAGCAGCGCTTTGGTTTGTCAAGAGCAGTGGCTGTTGCTAAAAATAAGAAGGCTGTGGGCAGGGTGTTGCAGCAGTACAAGGCTTTGGGCTGGACCAGTGGGACAGGTATGTGGAAGAATTAAATGGACTTATTAAACCTTTGAACTAACTCTCATCTTATCAGTCAGTGCTTTTGAAGATGTTGTCTTGTGCTGTTGTTCTAGAAATGAAGGCATTGAATTCTTTCAGTAATCGCTTTGTGCTGGCAGATTCACTGCCTCGCTTCCTAGCAAGGAGCAGTACCAGTTCTGCCAGCAGGAAGACAGGCTGCTGGCAGTTAAAGATGGAGGAGAGAAGCTAAGTTCTGTTGCTATGCTATTGCAAGGGTTTCACACGTTCTCCAGCCTCCTGGTATTGCTCCTGTGCAAGTCTTTTTATTTCTGGTAAATGAACAGAATCCCTTGTAGACGCGTGTCATTCCATTCATGCTTTAACATCCCATTGTATTTTTTTTCAGAAAGGCAGCCCCTGCACACACACAGACCAGTCATGCCCATGCTGGTTTTTTTGTTGCAAGAGATGCACCTAAGTCTTCATTTTACATCAGTGGTGTAAAATGAAATTTGCAGGGGTGAATCCAGCCTGAACTGCAACCAGAGACCTAGCTTGAAACAAAAGCAAAGGAATTGGCTTGCTTGAAATGGAAGTTGTTACCATTCAACAGTTGTACAAATGATACTCTGCTTCATCTGCTAATATCAATCCCTCTCTCAGCCCTTTCCCAGTTTCCCACTGTCATTTGTTCTCCTTGGAGTTTGCCAGTATATTAATCTTCGCTGCTGCTCTGCCCAGCATCTGATACCTTAGCCTCTGTAGTCCTGGTGTCTTTAATTGCAGATTAAATATTAGAGAAGGTCTCATGGAAGATTAGCCTAGAATTTAATTCTAGATGTGGCATTTTAACCTTGCTTGGGAGCAGTGGGTTACAGACATTTGTATTGAGACTAATGGTCAGCTTTTCTTTGCCAGAGTTGGTTGGTTGGTTGCAATTAAGATTACTGATCCATTTATGATTGGCATTGTCAGAGCTAACAGCTTCTATTCTTGCCCTTCAGTACACTACTACGTAACCCTGCATGAACGAACCATCTGACAGTTATCAACCTAGTCAGAGAACAATTATGAGATCTGTATTCACTTGCAGAGAATGGTTGCTGAATAGCGTATATGCTAAGAATGACATGTTGCCATTGTTTAGTAAAATAACTTAGGCCAACTGAAAGGAGCATTTGAGATCTCTGAATGGAAAGAGTTGAAAAATTCACATTGTTCATTTAATTCAGCTCTGTTTTTTTTCAGATAGATGGTACAAGCCACTGTGAAACCAAGTTCCTTCATAACAACAGGAACTTGATCCTATAAATGATCTTTGTAGGGAAACCCCTGTGCTCATAGACAGCTCTGTAGCAAGATGAGGGCCTGGGGGAAGGGAGATTAAACTGTCATTTACCTGATGCATGACTTTCAATGAATAATTTCTCTGCTATGACCCCCTATAAGGACACTGATTCAAAATACCATTTTTTCTGTTAAGTGACTTGGGAAGGCGTTGAGCTGAAATAAAAAAAACCCTTCTCTTATGCTGGAATGAGAGTGCTCATAGAGGGGATATGTACTGCTATAATTATCAGTTTACTTCTCACAGCATAATTAGACTTAGTCTAGAGTATAAAGCTGTGCTGGCAAAATTTGAGTTCTGGTGATAAACCTTTGACTATATCAACATTCTCAGCTTCTTTTGGTCAGCAGCGCTACATCTCTGCTGAGTGAAATAAGTCTTCTTCTATAGGCATTCACATACCTTCTGCTGGCTGGAATGGTCCTTTCAGCAGCTGGTGGCTTTCTTGCACTAGAACAGGTACAAACCAGAGAAGTGTAAGGTGGGAGACCAGACCTGCCAGAAGTGTGGGGATAGGGCAGCTGTCTGTTGCCAGAGGCAGGGGAGTTATGGGCTAGGCCTTGGATTGCTGTAACTGGTAAACTTTTCTTCAGTTGACTGGTCCTTAGACTTTAAGGCTAGGGACAGACATTCAAAAAGGCTGAGCCTGAATTGATTCAATCCTTGCAGGTTAGTCTAACCTGGTTAGGGTGAACCAGTTTGTAACCACACAAACATCACCTCTGGACTGAGGAAATGTAGGCATATGCCTGCAGTGGCTAAGGCTAGAAGCTGGTGGGGCACTAGAGCAGCCTTTCCTTCCCTTCCCTTTTGTAGCACTGAACTGAGGGGGCGGGTGTGGCCTGGCCCCAGCAGGACACTTTGATTAGGAAGGGGTCATCCACCCTCCTTGCTGCTCCTCTGACCAGGGACAGAGTCCCTACTGTGGCATTTACTTACACAGCAGGGAGTTGCATAGCATTTATCAGCCCATCAGCAAAACAAAAACCCCTCTCATTAGTTCAGGCTCTTCTTAAACAACTTTTTTACAAGGAAGGAATGGAGGGACGTTACCAGCTACTTGTTCATTAGCTCCAAAAAGCCCTGAGCAGACACTGACCTGTCTGCCTTTGTCCTGTCTGCCTTACACAGATACCTCTCAGCATTAGCTAGCATACCACATGCTACCAGAGCTCTAGCCAGGGAGCAGAGGGGCGGGCCAGCCCTGCTGTGGAGCTGATAGCCCCGTCCCAGGGCTAACAAGCATCTGGGATGCTGGGGCAGTCTGGTTTAAGTTAAACCAGGACAGGGTCTGGGACAGAC